TGAAAAACGATTTAAATTTGCGACGATTCAAATCGGTTGAGATGCCAAACAAATAGCGATTCAATTAGGGGTAGGAGTTTATATGAATGTATGTCAGAGGGGAACTTACTGTCTTTCGATGGTATTTTTTCTTTTAATCTTGCCTCTGTATAATGCATATTAAAGTTCATAAGTGCAGTGCTGCTTTGTTAAGCAATAATAAAAGGACACATTTAATTTATAATTTGTCTTAAATCTCATTTTGTAAAAAAAAAATATCGAATCGTGAGTTGAGTGAATCGTTACATGCTTATAACACAGCATGAAATAAACATGAATGAACATCAGAAGGTGTTGAAAGAAACGGAACAACTTACTGAAATGTAGCATGTCTCATGTAATCACTCAATCAGTGTTTCAGCCGCAGAAAAAGCTGTTTCAGCTGCTGAATCCCTGACAATTTTCAAGCGACAGCTGAAAACCCATCGTAAATGTAAATGTAAAACGTCAAAGAAACAGCTTTTGTACAATATCACGTAACTTCACATTTACCTAGGAAAGCCATTCTGATATGTGTGATTTGTTTTTTCTTAGAGATTGTGTTTTTTGTTTTTTTTCATTTAACTCATCCAGATAAGAAAACGTTGTCGACTGGAAGGACGAGAACTAGAGGAATACGTGGAGAAAGAGAAAATGAAGAAAGAGGCTGCCAAAAAACAGGAGCAGGCGAAAGAGTGAGTGGAAATGTGTTTGTGACTAAAATACTGTCAGAATGAGAAATCAAACCAAGACTTTCTAACAAACATTTATCAGGTGTACTATGGGTAATTCTCTACAAATATACATAAGACAGATCCTCACTGAAAACAACAAATACTTTATGAATCATTCATGCTAGAGCTGCACGATTGGGTCACAAAGTTGTAGCTTTTTGAGCTGTGACGTCAAACATTTAGCATCTCTTCTCCTGCTGCTGCTGCTGCTTAAAATGAAATAGAAATGCTTTGAAACAGCAGCTGTTGTGTTGATCAGGGTGTGCAAACCCTGCACTAATGCTACTAACTCACCAGAGATGCCTTTTGTCTCTAAATTAATTTGTTTTGCATTCAAATAGAAGTGCTTAAGGCTGTTCACATTTATGATTTTTAAAGAAGCCGACTCAGACCAAAAACAAGTGAACTGACTGAAAAATAACCCAGTTCTCTTTTACTTTATAACAAGATGTCTCTTCTGCTCACCAAGGCTGTAAAAACAGTAATATTGTGCAATATTATTACACTTTAAAATAACTGTTTTCTATTTGAATATATTTTAAAATACAATTTATTCCTTTGAAGTAAACCTAATTTTTCAGCATCATTACTCCAGTCTTCAGTGTCACATGATCCTTCAGAAATCAGTCTAATATGCTGATTTGCTGCTCAAGAAACATTATATTTATATAATATATGATACAGTGCCTTGCGAAAGTATTCATACCCCTTCAATTTTTTCACATTTTGTTATGTTGCTGCCTTATGTTAAACTGCTTTCAATTACTTTTTGTCCCCCACATCAATCTACACTCCATACACCATAATGACAAAGCAAAAACAGAACTGTCACAACTTCGTAAATGTATTAAAAATAAAAAACTGAAATAAGTACATTGCATAAGTATTAGTGTTCGACCGATATTGGTTTTTTGACAGCCGATGCCGATATCTTGGAAAGCAGGGTGGCCGATATAAAGCCGATATAATTTTATGTATTTTAATTAATATTTAAGAAATTTGAAATCATTTGAAAATTAATAAAAAAATAAATGTGTTAAATAAACATACTTATACTTTAGATGACAAAGTATTTTGACATATAAATAAATATTTAATAAAAATATAATTAAAAAGGAAGTAAACACTGTAACCAACAGGGCACTCAGTATTCTGGGAAGTTTGTGTGCATTAATCATATTTTTTCAAATAAAGCCAAGGTAACACTCATTTTACATACAGCACACAGTGAAAATTACATGGATATGACAGTGGGCAAATGCATAAAGTGCAGCATAATTTAAAATCACGAGTTTAAAGTTTATCGATCGTGCATCTCAGTGAAGCTGAACTCTCCTCCTGTCAGCATTCAATTTGCACGGACCGATCGTCACGCAGAGAACACGCAATCATGCAGGATACACATGCACACTTCACAAGATCTCACAACTGGATCCGACTAAGTTTGCAAGGTTTTTGAAATTGGATGTTTATTAGACATTCAAAGATTTGTTTAAATGATATAAATGCGTATTTGCTGAATGCTACCGGCAAACAAGAAAGTATTATAATGTTTGCCTTTCTATTACTAATAATATAAAAGCAGGCATTATAAGACTTTTTGTGTACATTTTAATTCCTTTGTTTAACCGTTCTATCTGATTATTAGACAGACTTTTATCCGTATTTAGACAGAACTGTTAACTGTCAAAATAAAAGTCCCGCCTCGAACGCATCGGCCAAACAGGAAAACTTATCGGCCGATGCCGATATTTAAAAAATGCCAAATATCGGCTGATATATCGGCCTTGGCGATATATCGGTCAACCACTAATAAGTATTCATACCCTTTACTAAATATTTAGCTGAAGAACCTTAACAGCCTCAAGTCTAAAACAACGAAACCTTTCGACCTCAAACGTTTTTGAACTTTTTTTTTTTAATTTACGTTATTATTCTTGGAACCCAGTCAACTTATTTTAAAATATAATACTGAATTGTTACATATTATATGAATATAAATATATTATATATTATGGCGCACAATATATTTTGTTGTAGAAACAATATATTTAAATTTAGATCTAAAACTATAAAACTGTTATTGTTGTTTTTATTGCATTATTATTAATAATATTTTTGAATAGTTGATATGTCCTAACAATGTCCTGTGATGTGTAATTACAATATGAATATATATAGTAATGAAACATTTTTGCAGTTTTGGCCCCACGTTAATTAATAGAGGTTATATGAGACAATATATGAGACCATTTGAAAGGAACTACTGAAGTCAAAAAGTTGAATAAACATAAAACCTAAAATATGAACTTTATACAATAATATTCATGTTAACCTAAAGATACTGAGAACAGCACAGTTCACGAGCATGTTATATATCAACCAGCCTTTTTTGTTATCATTTCTTCACTTTTACGCAGGCAATCTCAGCTGTTTATGGTTTAATAATCCCATTACTATTATTAGTTCAGCTCTGGATCCTAACCTTACGTGAGCTTTAATAACAGCACTCTGTGTTGATGGTCAGGGTGGACATGGACTCGAGCGATGAGAGCGATATGGAGGACGATCTGGAGCAGCCGGCGGTGGTGAAGACCAAACATCACGACCTGATGATGCTCAAATGGGACGAGTATGGAGAAATCATCAGGTGAAAGAAGAATTAGGGTTATTCCCCTTTAAAAAAATCATGATATTTATGGGTTCGTGCTACTGTTTACTCCATAAACTAATAAAAAGTCTTTTATAAATCCTTTATGATATGTATTGTTGTTTACCTTCTGTTTCGTCTTATGTTTGTGTATTATTCATGTTCTGTATTTATTTACTCTGGAATGACCTCTGACCTCTAACCCTCAGGCCTGAGGAGTTTCTGGTTCCTGAGCTCCAGGCCACAGAAGAGGAGAAGAGCAAGCTGGAGTCTGGACTGACTAACGGAGAGGAGCCGATGGAGCAGGACCTGTCCGACGTTCCCACCAAATGCACCAGCACCACACAAGCGCTAGACATCAGGTGATCGTTCATTTCATCATCAGTCTGACTCTTATTACTGATTATGATAAATAAGTGAAAAAACTGGATGAAAGTTCATTGGAAAAAAATCCTACATTTACTTTGTTTAAATGTACGTCCCCACCAAATGCACCAGTATCACACAAACTCTAGAGATCAGGTGAGGATTCATTTCATCAGCAGTCTGACTCTTATTACTAATAATGATAAATAAGTGAAAAAGGATGAAAGTTAATAAAAAAGAAAACCTACATTTACTTGAACCTTTTTATTTAAGCATATTCTACAAAATAAAATAAAAACTTTAACTTAAATTTAAATTTTTTTAATATATATTTTTTTATTTTAACTTTAGTATTTTGTAAAAAACATATATAAAATATATATTTTATTTATATATATATATATATATATATATATATAAATAAAATATATATTTTATATATGTTTTTTACAAAATACTAAAGTTAAAATAAAAAAATATATATTAAAAAAATTTAAATTTAAGTTAAAGTTTTTATTTTATTTTGTAGAATATGCTTAAATAAAAAGGTTCCTAAATTCACAAACACTTGAAGCACAAGAAATGGAAAGTAGCACATTGAATTAAACATGAAATTTTGAAGTAGAAAGACTAAAAATAGTATTTTCTTGTCAAATATACTTCAATAATCTTTCTTTTATTTACAACTTCAAAAAATATTTTTTTTTGTACAATGTATATATAATTAGTATTTTTTATTTTGCACAAAATGCTAAAGTTAAAAAAGATTTTCAGTATAAAACAGGCAACAACCCTACATTTAATTTCTTTAAATGTATTAAAACTAGTGATAGTTTTGAATAAATATTAGCAAATTTGTGTGCTATGGCAGTGTTCAAGATTTATTCTCTTTTTTTTGTACATTGCTAAAATTAAAATTAAAACAATTATTTGTATTTTAAAATACAAAAAAAAACAAAAAAACATTTCATTTGTTTAAATGTTTTTAAGAGGATAAATTGTATTAGAAAGCAGTGTTTAGGATGTGTCTTCCTTATAATGCGCCTGCAGGTGGCGCTCACCCTGTAGTCTGAGAGATTGTCACAAATCAGCATTTGGTAAAAATGTGTCACGCCTTTACTAAGATGTAGCATCATTCATCACGTATCCTACAGTCAGTTAAAAATACCCAGGTTTCTCCCAAACACACTCAGATGCTGCTGTCAGTTTTAACAGAATAATTAGCACTTATGCCTAATAACCCTCCATCCGTCTCTAATGAATTGCTCTTCTGTGGTTTGTGTGTTTGTTTGCTGAACTGAGAGAAAATGTGAGTGATTCTAATCTTCAGTGGTGAAAAAATGTTTTAAAACATTGGAGCTCAATTTAATGCTGATGCATTTGCCAGCATTTTACAATGATCATTTTTATCAATTTTAAAGCTTAAGTATTAAAAAAAATATATATATATAACTCAAATTAACTCAAACATCAGAATGAAAATGATAATATTTCAGAAAGAAAATAGGCATTTCAGCATGTCAACACAAAATATCTGCTAACATTTACTATTTTTCATGATTTATAGTGTAAATGAAATGTATGCATAATTATTATATTATAAAATGTAATAATTAAAATAAGATGTCAGAGCTTTTCAGGTTCCTACCATTTTTAAAAACCTCATCAAATAAGAGGTATAAGTTTTTTGATTGTTTAGTAAGGTTAAACAATATATTGTCATTCTACAGGTATTGAATCTTATAATATTATAATTAAATATTGTAATTATAAAATGTTATATGTTTTTATTATCATAATAATATACAAATGATTTAAAATTAATGAATGTGAAAAAAAATCTCATTGATATTTTGGTTAAAAAAAACATGACATTTACACTGTCTACTCTAGGTTTGAATCTAAAAATGTGAAATACTTTTATTTTATTATAGACTAATCATACTGTGATTAGTCAAATTCATCTCTGTCAGTGTTGTGATATATGTATACTTTTTTTTTTCTAATGATATTGTTGTATTGTTTGGTCATACTTTTATGGCAGACTGACCCAGATATGGCGTATTGATGCATCTGTTGTGTCCTTCAGAGCTCGAGTCACATACATCGATTATGAAGGCCGTTCTGACGGCGACTCCATTAAGAAGATCATAAACCAGATGAAACCCAGACAGCTAATCATCGTTCACGGGCCGCCTGAGGCCAGTCAGGACCTGGCCGAGTCCTGCAAGGCCTTCAGCGGGAAAGACATCAAAGTTTACACGCCAAAACTGCAGGAGACGGTGGACGCCACCAGCGAGACCCACATTTACCAGGTAATAATTCTATCTGTCACACAGAACCTGAAATTAAACAATTATATGTATTTCAACAACTTTTATATATATTATAATTATATATATTTCAACAACTTTGAGAAACGCCAACTAAAATGATATATAGAGGTCATATATGTATATGTTATATATATATATATATATATATATATATATCTCAGTATAGTTGCCATTTCTCAAAGTAAAAATATAATTAGGACCATTATTAATTTTTTTTTACTAAGTATACTTAAATATTGCTGTTTATTTGTTGTTTTTGTTATCATTGTAAACCACTTCTTATTGTATTTTATTCCTATTGCTTTAATTTTTTATTCACCATTTTTATCACCTTTTTGCTTTGCAATTTTTTTTTTCTATTTTTTATTTTTTATTTTAATGGTGTAACAAATTATTATTTTTTTTAAATATACATATTCCATTTAGTCTCAATTAATATTGGGTAAAAAAAAGAATTCTAAAAATATATTTTAAAAATTAGCGAAATGAATTTATCTTATCAGTATCTATCATCATCATCATGTTGTTAAAAACAGACACATTTTTAATAAAAAATAATTAAAATGACCAAAACGCACAACAAAATTCCTAAAACTTTAACTAAAGTTGAAAACATAAAATAAAACAATAAAATCTCATTCAAAATATCAACAAAAACTATAAACTGAAACTTATTTTATTTCGGCTAGTCACCAAGGCAACATTTCTAATTTTTTTAAGTTTGTTAAAGTATGACTAAAATGAAATAAGCTAAAACTAATAAATAAAAAATAAGCAATACTACATAGACATATTAAAAAGAATAAACAAAAAAAACTTAAACATTTCTAAAGCTTTAACTCAAAATAAAGTGAAAACAAAATATATATATAAAAATAAAATATATTTTTGTGAATGTTTTGCAGTGTGACATGCTAAACTCCATCTTACTGCTCAATATATAAATATTAAGATATTAAATATTTCACTAAAGTTTCTGGGAGCATTGAGTTGTGAATGTTTCAAAACAGCATCATTTATCATGATATGATTCTCTTTAAATATCATTTTATCTTTGACATTACACAAAGTGTCCAGTCTTCTGAAATGTTCACAGACTGATGAAGCTGTAAATGTGTCTGTAGGTCAGACTGAAGGACTCGTTGGTCAGTTCGCTGCAGTTCTGTAAAGCCAAAGACACGGAGCTGGCCTGGATCGATGGCGTTCTGGACATGCGGGTGGAGAAAGTGGACACAGGTGTCGTCCCAGAGATGGGAGACGCCAAAGAGGAGACGGAGGACGGAGAGCCAGCCGTGGACGTCATGCCGGACCTCACGACTGAGCCCAGCGCCACGGCTAACCAGCAGGCCATGAAGACTCTGTTTGGAGAAGACGACAGGGAGATTTCAGAGGAGAGCGACGTCATTCCCACGCTGGAGCCGCTGCCTGCTCATGAGGTGAGAGCACAAACAAAAAAACATTTTTGTTGCTTGAAAAAAAATTTAACGTTAACTTTAATAAAATATAAAAATATATACTACTTTTTTTTTTATATAACTTTATTTCAGCTAGTTTCCAAATGACATTGCTCATTTTCGTTAAGTTGATGTACTAAAACTACTGAAACTAAAAAATATATAGACATCTTTAAAAAATAAATAAAAAAACAAGATTACTAAACTAAATACTAACTAAAATTAAAGTGAAAATATCAAAATAAAATTCAAAATATTTACAAAAACTATAAACTTAATCATAATGTAATTATAATTATAATATATTACAATATAATAGAATTTCATTTCAGCTAGTTCCCAAGGCAACATTTCTCATTGACAACAAAATAGCTATAACTAAACTAAAACTAATAAATAAAAATGAATAACTATTATAAAATAAAAAAAAAATAGTAATAATAAAGACAAAACCACAACAAAATTGCTAAAACTTTAAAATTGAAAACAGAAAATATTAAAATAAAATCTAATTCAAATTATTAACAAAAATCCTGATCTTAAACTAATTGTTTTTCAGCTAGTTGCCAAGGCAACATTTTTCATTTTCATTTAAGTTAAAGTACTAAAATAATTAAAACTAAATAAAGTAAGACTAATAAATAAAAATTAACAACTACTATATAGACACATTTAAAAAATAATAATAGAAGCAATGACAAAAACACAAACATTTCTAAAACTTTAACAAAAATTTGAATGAAAACAGAAAATATAGGAATAAAATGTAATTCAGAATATCAGCTAAAACTATAAACTTAAGCTTATTTATTAAATGATTAATACTACTATATAGACATTATATTTTACATTTATATAATACTTATTATTAATTACACACACACATATATATATAGTTATATATATATATATAAACTAATAAAAATCGCAAAGCAACAAAATAAAATTACAATTAAATTAAACAGAAAATATCAAAATAAAATCTAATTTTAAATATTGAACCAAAATATCAGTGATATTGAAATAACACTAGATTTATGGCTTGTTGGTTAGAGAATACAATTCTGCTGTAATGCAGTTTTGCAGAGAGAATAGAGGAGAATATATGTGCAATGAAGAAAGTGAGTTACAATGTAAATTAGGATAAAATGAGCTCATGATGAAGGTTGAAATAAAGTTCTATATTCTACAGCTGATCACCAGAGAAAAGACATTGGAATAGATCTGCACTGAACAGATGAACAGATAAGGTGTTTTGTTGAGCATGCATGGGAAATACCAACACGTGTTCTCCTCAGGTCCCGGGTCATCAGTCTGTGTTCATCAACGAGCCTCGCCTGTCGGACTTTAAGCAGGTTCTGCTGCGTGAAGGGATCCAGGCCGAGTTTGTGGGCGGAGTTCTGGTGTGTAATAATCTGGTGGCTGTCAGGAGGGTGAGTGGAATCAGATTACGCCGCACAGTATGGAAATCATCTCTCATGAATATTTGAGCAGTGGCCAGCACATTATGAGCCATACAATCAGGATGTGTTCTCAGTTTGTGTTGCAAAAAACAAATCTGGATCCAGCAACTTTGGAGACGTTTACGTTCGTTTTAAAGACATTTATGCAGTGATCTATACATATTTTACAATATAGTAATGTATCTATAACCTGCAGCTTTTTATGCACATGTGCAGCTTGTTGCATCTTGTCATGCTACATACATGCACACAAAGTAAATCTCAGATTACGCCGCACAGTATGGAAATCATCTCTCATGAATATTTGAGCAGTGGCCAGCACATTATGAGCCATACAATCAGGATGTGTTCTCAGTTTGTGTTGCAAAAAACAAATCTGGATCCAGCAACTTTGGAGACGTTTACGTTCGTTTTAAAGACATTTATGCAGTGATCTATACATATTTTACAATATAGTAATGTATCTATAACCTGCAGCTTTTTATGCACATGTGCAGCTTGTTGCATCTTGTCATGCTACATACATGCACACAAAGTAAATCTGTCAAGTGAGTTCTTGCTAAGCTGTCAGTGCAAGCATCATTGGCGTTGTCTCCTATTCATGGAAAATACTACACTTGCCTACTGTATCCCACAATGCAATGCTTCTGTACACCTCACTGCGCTGCTGTACAACACTGACCTCACTGACCCCTCTCTCTCTC